TTTTAAATAAAATATTGCTTTCCTTTCTCTCACTGAATAATTTGCTAAATTCTCAGAGACTGCCATCTGCTTTTTGTACCACCTCGTATACCATTAGTCTCAAATATTATATAATTGTGTTAGGTGGTTATTAATTAAAGTTCCATTTTTTTTTACTTCTGGGAAGTATAATGACTGGAAGTTATAGTTTGGAAAGAACTGATGCTGTCGGACACCCCACTTCACAATATTATTCTCATCACCACTCACATACATGAAACAAAAATCCAGTGACATGACTCAGAGAGTGAGAGGAATGATGATGATGTATTTCAGAAGCAGAGTTAGAAATACAATTTCAGAAGCAACAGGGATATTGTATATTTGCGCATAATGCAAGTGCAAAATCATGGACAAATGACTTAGATTTTCCTTAATTGAAAGCTTGATGTTTGAGGTTGACAAACTAAAACTGCTGGCATGCCTATAAATCCACAACAAAACAATACATTGTAATAAAAATCCTCCAGATTTTATTTTCGTATTGAAAATCCCAGTCTCAAAATTTCACATACGTATGTAAAAACAGTTCAGTTAAAAAATAGAATACAGTCATTAGGCAAATAATAATCTTCGTAATTAAAAATACTGTTCATTTTCACCTATAGCACTTATTAGGAATTTAGTTTGATTTATTCTTTGAAAGTGAGCTGGAAGCATTTCTGTACATGTTTCGATAGATTTTTTCCAGGCTATCTTCAAAGATGGCTCTGTGAGGCTTGTTTTTATATTCTGCAACTTGATTGGTCCAATATTCACCATTATCCAAATGAACCATGACGTTTGGCTGGCTGAATGAACTGGCAAAGTCCACAAACACCCAGACCAAAAATAAATAAATAAAAATAAATCAAATCATTACTTTTCAAAATTCAGAAAAGAGTAACAGGCATTTATCATTTATTTATTACACTTTATATAATTTGCATTGTGTGTTAATTATTCATAAACTAGTGTAAGTACATGAATGCTGACAAATATTTGCTTATATAAAATACTATTTAGAAAAAGGTACATAAGACTGCTGCTTGCCAGTCTGGAAAATTCTGGGCAGTGATGGTGATCTCTTTTTAGGAATACATATGGTGTTATTACTTTCTATCTGCACCTGCATTTTAATCTATCTGATTAGAGCTTCTGCTTATCAGCCTGCTTCTCATTTCGGTATCAGATTATGCCTCAAGATTACACACTGCACAACTTCTTTCACACTTCAAATAGTATGCGGGTCTCCTTACCTCATGCTTATTTTTTTATATAAAAAAACCTGACCTGCTGGAATGCAACTCCAAAAGTATCAATACTTTGCACCTTTTATGCTACTAAAGGCAAATTTTCTTTTTCTTGATCTCCTTTGGATGACCCTTAGCACCGCCCTGTCAGTCTATTTATCACAGAAGTTGTACTTCCTTCTCCTTTCCTCACTGTGAAGATAAAAAGCTCAGATGCAGATTGAAGGGAATGTAGATCTGGCCTTGGGAATAGAGGAGGTACGTTAAGGGGAGACTTTCAGAAAAAATTAATCAGTCCTGAGAAAGAAGAAAATGTGAGGAAAAAAAACTCAAAATAGCCTTGCTTTACTTTAGTTTGGTATAAGAAGAGGCAGAGAGAAACTCTTGACAGGCTTTCAAGATTGTTATTCTATCCTACAACAGTAAAGAATTTTTGGTGAAATCCCTGCTATGCCTGAGTTTGACCTTGCACATGCACATAATAGCATGTAACTTCTTTAATAAACTTTATTTGCCCTCAGACATCTGTTCTTACAAACTTTGAATAGTCTTGATTCTATTCATACAAATATGTTCTAAACACAAATCCTCATGAATGAATTGTATTCTGATCAGAGTTTTGATAGTCCCAAAAAGTGCTTTTTTTCAAACTACAACTGGACTTCCTTGATTTTTCTTGAAGACATTTCACTTCTCATCCAAGAAGCTTTTTCAGTTCTACCCAACTGGTAGAGAATGAAAAGGATTTATACTCTGCAGTCGACATTCTGAGGTTGTTGAAACCAGCTGGGAGTTAATCTGTGTCCTCAGAGTCACCTGAATCAGAGTGTAAACAAGTGTGGAACCTTTTTGGGACCGCTGAAAGGCTGTATTGTAAACAGGAGAGAAGTGTTGTCATTACACACACACACACCCTTGAGGGAGGTATGTTCAGTTTTAACATAGATAGCCTCTTTGATTCCTTTTTCAAACCAGTGGTCCTTTCTATCCAGAATGTGAACCTTACTGCTCTTTTCTTTTAGATGCAGAAGGACTACTGCATTCTATCCCTGTTGCGTTGCTTCTCCTGTGCTGTGCCATGCATTTGTGTAGTGGTTGTTTCATTTTCTCCAATGTACAATTCTGCACTGCATTGCATATACAATATTGCCCTGTTTGTGTCTGAATGTTTTGGTTCTTACTGTGGACAAAAGCTTCTATCTTAATGTGTTCCTGATTTCTCTAATTCAGGTGACTCTGAGGACACATGTTAACCCCCAGCCACTCCTCAGAGTGATTGCAAAGAATATAAATCCTTTCCATTCCTCACCAGTTAGTTAGTTACAACTGAAGAAACCTCTTGGATGAGAAGTGAAACATCAAGAAAAATCAAGCAAGTCCAGTTGTACTTTGGAAAAAAACACTTTCTAGAACAACCATGATCTAGATGACTGAAAACCTCCATAGAGAGTTTTAATAGTTTTCTCCTGTGTGAATAACTTTGGCATCAGGAAGACTGCCAAGGAGACTTGCAACTGGGTGTGCACGACTAACAAAATGTCATCTTACAATTATTCCTAAGTGAAACTTGTCTGTGATGGTGCCTGCTCCTGAAATGTTCTCTCTACAACAGGGGTCCCCAACCCCCTAGGCCTTGAACCCTTTGGAACCGGGCTGCAGAAGTGGTGGGCAAGCATATGCACACATGCATCCCCACTTGCACGAGCGATGGGCACACATGCCGACTGCTCATGCAAATGGAGGTGCACTTAGCACACTTGCACAGATCCATCCCCTCTCCCCCCCCCCAGCCAATCTGCATAGCCAGAACGATTGGGGAACTCAGCTCTACAACAACTGTGAAGTGCTTGCTAATATGTTGCCTATGGAAGTTCTGTGTCTTTGTCTTTCTTATGTAAATATTACGGATATGGATTTTTAAATATTTTCTTTCCATTTTATATCACTTCATTATAGTGAAATGTATTTTATTTGCAAACTTCAAGATAGGAAATGGCATTGAAGTGTAAGAAATGAAAACAAAAATAAATAAAATTAGCATTTGTGTGACTTAAAAAAATCAAGAGAACAGTTTGTTGATCACACCCTAAACATATCTGTATATGCCAAATTCTGAGTTTTTCACACTTTCATTCTTGGCTTGCATCTGAAACAACCAACTTCAAACTATCCATAATAACCTGGATTTGCCGACATATTACTCAGGGTTAGCTTCTAACAAATTCAAGTTCCTTCACTTAAAACTAGTCATCACAACAGCCTAAGATTTACTTACAAAGAGTGGCAGTGATTTTTGTTGATTTCAGATCAGCACACTGACAAGGTCAGCAGTCACTTTCATGCAGGGCCATTAGCCTTCCCTTCCTCATAAGAAATCCCACAATGAAATGGGCAGATCTACATCCATGTTGGAAAAATGCTATCTTAACTGAAAACTACTCTGACAACCTAAAGTGAAGTGATCTGGGGATTACAAGCAGAAATTGTATTAAGAGCAGAATAATGACACTTACTCCACTTTCAGAAATACCTGTCATCTACCTGTCACATGGTTTTGTTCCATACCCTTTAGAGTTTCACAAGTTCTTTTCAAAGTCACTTTCATACTAAATATTTCAACATCACATATCTTCTGTGTAGTCCCAGAGGTTTTCAATCATTTATTTTAGTGTGAACATTTGGTCAGCAAAACTACTGTCTCCTTTGAATTCTATTTTGGCATGCTATTTATGAGGACATCTTCAAACCTGAAACTGTCAGAATATCCTTGAGCCTCCTCATTTCCCAACTCGTTGACTGGTCTAGAGATGGGACAAACCCATCAGTATCTGACCTTACTTGAATATTAGCATTTCAAAGTCAATTATTCTCAATGATGTTGTATCACTTAAGAGTTGCAAATTCTTTATTCGTGTATTGTACCTCCCAAATTGACTCCATCAGAATATATATGTATGGGTTACAGAAAAATTCAGAATATGTGAATGGTTGGTAACATCAAAATATGGATTAGGTTCTCAGTTAAAAGGAGAAACTTTAATATAATGGTAAGTACAAACTCTGCATGCCAAAAAAAAAATAATAATCCCTGGTTCAATTCCTGGTATACAACAGTGATTGGAAAAGCTCCAGCCTAAAATTCTGAATGTCACTGTTAACCATTGTAATTGATACTAGTTTAAATGGCTCAACAGTGTGAGTGAGTATAGCTTGTTATATACCATATAACAGTAAAGAGTCTATTCTTAGAGTGACATCAATTCATTATAAAGAGCCCTACATGATAGTAGTATGGCTTTTATTTATACACACAAAGACACAGCACTCAGAAGTTTTAGTAATATAAGGATGACCTGCATCACAGGCACATCTGATATAATTTTGGGCATTAAGTTATCCCAGTTATATCACTGACATGGAAAGCTACAACGATACAATGGCTGTTATGCCATTAATGTTATGTAGGAGGAAGCAAAAAGGCAGAAAATTACATCTGCTAAAATCCACAAAGGTTCACTTTGGATTGTACCATGGTTCAAACACGCTAAATATCAAGCACAAATGACTTGCATGGAATTAGTGCAAGAAGGTATTTAAATTTAGTTTCTAATAGCTATAGTATGCACATAATATTAAACACATAAGGTCTAAAGTTATGTCGGAGACAATCTGGGGTTGGACTGAGAACTGGGGGGGGGGGAAGGAATAATGGGAAGAGGGGAATCTTACCTGTTCTGAAAATTACTGTTTAAAGAATCTGTATGTGAAACATCTCTTTTTCTGAAATCTCTTGTCCCAGTGGAGTCTCTTGTCTTAGCAGATTCTTCCTTTGACAAAGAAGTCTCATCCTAAGAAATAAAGATTAAAAAAAACCCAATAATTTTATCTGATAGTCAAAACATATTACTTACTTTTGAAAAAGTATTTAAGCTATTTTAAGTTTAAGCCTTCCCCAGCAATATAGGGATAGTAACATGACTTTTATAGGATTTAAGTTACTAATAGAATACATGTGAACATTAATTAAAACCTACATCATATATTTTAATAATTAGAAACAATTTACTATGCTATATCAGAAATCCACAAAGAAAACTTTTACCTAGATATCAAACTAGAAATGAAAAGCACTTCTGAATAATTCATAGAAAATGAACTATTTCTATTTACTCTTAATCAAAAAGCTGAAAAATGTAGAATCCCTCACTGTATGCCTCATTAGCAATTTCTTGATAATCTCCCTTTCACAGAAAACAAGATTCTTCCCGAGTTACTTTATCAAAGAAATATTGAGAGGATAAGGTTGCACAAATCTCAGCAATGGAATTATCGTCCCCTTTTCAAATGTGAATGGTCTTCCAGTTCCTAAAGTGGATACGCTCTATGTCTCTTATTCATGGCTTCTGTATGAACTGATGAAGAGAAGAATCTTATAATTGAAAACAGAGAAAATCCAGCTGCCTAAGGATGAGATTCAGCTACCAATTCTAAACATGCCGTTATGCTGATACTTGCAATGATCCAAACTTGCAATAGATCCATTTCCCTTTTGTCTAAATGCATTTCTTTTCTCTCTCTAAAATTTGACACAAAGCAAGAGACATAGCCCTTCTAGTCCAGATAGCATTGAATAGTGCTTTAGAATGGGAAAGATGTTTCCTTAAAAGTTGTCTCATCCCAGAGAGAATGTCTGGATGCTAAGAATGTTCTTAGCATCCAGAGAGAGGAATCTGGAATGCCTGAAGGAACCAGCAAGCTGAATAGTGAACCTCTGTGTGCTATCGCTGAAGGCTTAGCAATTGCATGAAATGGTTGCTAAGCCTTATTGCTTAAAACCTAAGGAAGGAAAAGAGATGCCTATTGATTCTCAAACTTACAAATGTTAGCCTTTGCCTTGCACTGTGCGTTCTTAAAATACTTTTCACTCGTTTATGAATCTCATCCCCATTTACTGGTGTGTTCCAACCTGTATAAAACCTAAATTAAAAAATAAAATAATAAATTAGAACACTTTATATGAAGATTTTAAATTATGAGCATGGGTTAGTATTTGGAAATGGGTACAATACATTATTTTCACTTTTATAGATGCATATGAAAGATAAAGCTATCAATAGCTATTTGTTATCATGGCCAAATATTATTTTTAGAAAGAAAGAGGTTATATCTCTTAGTATCAACTGGAGAGGATGATAAACAGAAGAGTGCAACTGCACTTTATAAATGTACCTACTTGGCCATTGTGGGAAGAGAGGGCTGGATATTATTAATTCTAATAATATGTAGCATATACTTTTTTTTTAGCATATACTTTTATAACTACAAATGCATACTACAGGTGGTTACTCTCACTCCTCCCATATTTGTCACTATAGTATCAGAACAGTATTACATAGAATAAAAATAAGTTAGTTAATATACCAGAAGAGCAGAAATTAGCAATAGTCCTAATATCAAAAAAGGGAAAGCAGGAGAATCCAAGAAACTATAGACTTATATGCAAGTGTTTAAAAAAGAATACTATCATTAACTTCTTAGGTTTGTCAATAATAAACTATGTCAGCTGATCATATCCTTTTTTATGATAAATCAACTAGCTTAATTAGACCATGAAATGTTGTGGAGCTACTGCTGTTTGACTTTGGTAAAGCATAAATACAGTGGATTATATTGTATCTTTGTGTCAAGGCCAGATCAGGAAACAGACTCCACATGATCTATTGAAATTCTTCACTGATGCAGAGTACATTAACAATATCCTGAAAACTTGACAGAATTTCTTTCTGCCTTTATATCAAAGAGACTTAAGGTAGGGCAATCTTGAGGGTTTTTTTCACCCCATTTTCCTTTTCAGGGCTAAGTGGGTGTTTATCTCATGGCAACTGAATTCCTTCTTTAAGGCTATCTTCACTCTCACTCACTCACACTCTATCTTCACTTGTGGCCAAAATAGATACATGCAAGTTACTACAGTTTAGTGGATTTTAGTGGATTTTTAACTGGCTCAGTTGCATTCAAAAAGTGCTTGAAATTTATTTTCCATTTTTCAGGAAAGGTGTATCGATGAGGTTCCACAAGAGTAGTCCTCCATCCTATGCCATTCAACTTTACAAATAACATAGAACAGGGGTCCCCAACCCCCAGTCCGTGGACCGGTACTGGTCTGTGGCATGCCAGAAACCAGTCTGCGCAAACAAGCAAAGCCCCATCCATGGAATGCAGGCAGTACATAAAACCATGCTCCATCCGGTCCGCAGAAAAACCTCTCTCCACAGAATCAGTCCCTGATGCCCAAAAGGTTGGGGACTTCTGACATAGAAGATGGAACTAAACTGATATTTATTAACCCTGTAATGATATTAGTGGGATTGATCAACATTTTAAGAGAATAAGTTCACAGTTCAAATTTATTTTGACTAGTTGCTATTCAATGGTGACAAATATAAGGACCTACAGAAAGATCAAACATATCAATTCAGGATTGGAAAGCTCTATTCTTTTTAAAACCAAAGACAGAACAAAGATGAGTGAATTAATTTTTTTAAAAGAACATGCAAGTTGAATATTAGGCAACATTTTCTGATGCCAAAAACTGGTTAGCAGTAAAATAATCTGCTAAAAGTATCGTGGATCCACCTTGGTAGAGATTTTAATAAAAAGAGCAAGAAAGCCAAACATCACCAATGGCTTAGTGGACACCTGCAATAGAGTTTAACCAGATGGCTTATAATATCCCTTCCACTTTGTACATGCTGCAATTCTATGATATGTACATGACTTAAGCAGACATAATTTTCTAATGTATGATACAAAAATCCTTTTCTATAAAATGTTTATTTTTTCCTGAAATGACAAAAAAATCCACTAGTGTGCGCTATAGCTTAAGAAATGTTTACTGATCACTTTGTCCTCAATCTTCTTAAGGGAAACAAGCATTACTAGGTATTATTTAAGATAACCTTTTTAAATGAATGTTTACTTATATTAATGAAAATATTTATATCACTTATATCACATATATACATAGCACTATACTATACTATACTATACTATACTATACTATACTATACTAGACTAGACTAGACTAGACTAGACTAGACTAGACTAGACTAGACTAATCTCTGTTACTTTTTAAACATATAATTTTAGAAAATAGAAAAACTAAGCAACCCTTTAAATCATTATGGTAGCATGTATACCATGCACAGGTCACCATACAAAAAAGCTGTATGTTGTAACAACACATCATGTGTTATATTCTTAAAGACTATAGAAGACATTTTCAGAAATTGATATTCAAACTGTATTTTAAAAATTATAAATAAAAGTAATAATAATGGAAAGACTCTAACAACAATTGGTTATCACTATCTAGATCTTAAAAACAGGATTATGACATTATCAGTGCTGCTGGAATATATTATTTTACTGACTTTACTTTGACAAAACAAAACAAACCTCTACAACTATTATTTCTGTTATGGTTTCAATTTTCTTTGCTACTAGCAACATTTTATATCTATTTAAATTGTTATTGACTCCTATACATTATATAAATATTTTATATATGGATTCCTCATTTAGCGACTGCCTCGTTTAAGCAGTTATAGTGGTGATGAAAAAGTAACTTTGTGAGTTCTCACATGTATGATTTTCATAGGCTGCAAAGTAAAGTAAAGCTGAAGTAAGATAGTAAAATTGTGATCTTTTCATTTAGTGACTGCTTGGCTTAACAAATTGCCAATCATAATTGGGTTGCTAAACAAGGATTACGCATATATAGGACATGGCCTAGAACAGTGGTGGCAAACCTATGGCATGCATGCCAGAGGTGGCACTCAGAGCCCTCTCTGTGGGCACGTGCGCCGTCGCCCCAGCCCCACCTCCCCCCATAGCCCCTTCCTCACCAGTAGCCCCTCCTGGGAGGAGAGTCGTCCCTGGGTGCGGCCCTCACGGAGCAGCGTAGCCAAAGACATGGCAGTTGGGCAGCAGGGACAAGACTCCGCCCTTGTGCCCCATCATGTGCAGATGATCCTGCGGGCACGGGCGGTAGGTGTGGCTGCCATTGCACTGCAGGGCTGCCTGAGTGATCTGCTACAGCGGGCCGTGGAGGCGGTAAGTGGCCCTGCAGATGGGTGGGGCGGGGGCAGGGCAGGCGAGGCAGTTTTGGGGCACTTGGTGTCTAAAAGGTTCGCCATCACTGGCCTAGACTAAGCCAGTTCAACAGAAGACTGCTCATAATTTATTTCAAAGTTGCAATATTTACAGAAATCAACATTATGAACTATTGTATCTGATAACTGTACTGTAACTAAAACATTGTTCTTTTTTGTAGGTATGATTTTAAAAAATTGCACAAAAAATGGAAAAAAATGAAGAAAACGTATGTTCCTAAACTTAACTCTTCCTTATCTGTAAATACAAAATGAAGAATTATAGAACACAGTTTTATGTTTGTCTACACTCATCTAAATTCCACTTCATTTCAATGAATTTCACTCCCAACTCAGTACTACTATATAAATAGGCACAAAGCACAGGGAATTTCAAACAAATGCTTACTTGCTTGTTTATTAGCACGAAAACTGCAAAATTATTACAAATATATTTTGCAAAACACTGTGGTTCTTTATTAACTCCTTTCCTCTTTCAAAAGAACCTCTCAGGTTCAACCATACATCTATGGCTTCCATGAAGTATCTATCATTTTCAAATGCAGAGGATTTGTGCTGAGAAGAAAAAGAAAGTCCACATACAAGGACAAACTACCATATGGGGAAAAAAATCAATATACCGGTAGTACAGGAACAGATGCACGTCTACAGTGCAAACAACTATTGTGGAGTCTGGTGAAAAGAGATTACTCTATAGCTAAAAAGAAATTGCTCTATGACTGAAATAGCTAAAATGAATTTTTGAGAACTCAACAGCGAAACAAGCTTGAATTTAACGCATTAAGACAGCAATGCTATACACAATTGTAAGTTCCACTGAACTCAGCAGGGCTCACATTTCTGCACCCAAAAGACTTAACTGTAAAGGAGCTAACAAAAAGCAGGTGGGTTATGTGAATTCACCCTGAATAGTGGAACTATATGTTGAGAAATGATCTATGAATTACTCTAATGCATAGCTGAAATTAATACCATACTATGTAGAAATGTACAATTTGTAACAAAAATAGACTGTTTCAAATATTTATTGTATAAAATACTCATTTTCTGTTGAAGATAGGCATGACTTACATGTTACCCTTTTAGTGTGAAAACATAAGTGAAAAAAGATTTCTTATAAATGCTTCTAGCAGGAGAACAAACAAGCCATTTTCTTGCCCAATTGCAGTTTTTCTCTGCCACTGAGAGGAAAAAGTTGCCTTGCCCATTTTTTTCTTTTTTAAGTGAGTAAGGTGGCAGGTGGAGAATAAAGGACTGTATTTTCCTTAAAATCTTTCTTACCTAATTGGTTACTTACTACGACAACAAGAGTTTACATAAAAAAATTATCAACTTATAATTATCAATTATAATTATCAACCTTATAAGCAAGACTTATACTGAAAAGTCCTAAGTATTTTGAACAGTAAGTCTCACTCAGCTATTTATCCAGAAAATACCAATAAAAATCAAGGTGAATGGCTAACTTCAATAAAATAAATGCAAGTGACCTAAGACAGGGGTCCCCAAACCCTAGTCCGTGGACCGGTACCGGGCCGCAGCATGCCAGCAACCGGGCTGCACAAACAGGCAAAGCCCCATCTACGGGTTGCAGGTAGCATACAAAACCATGCCTCCACTGGTCCATGGAAAAAACTCTCTCTACGTAACTGGTCCTTGGTGCCCAAAAGGTTGGGGACTTCTGACCTAAGATACTTGAGAACAATAATGAAAAACAAGATTTCAGCTTAATTGTTCTATATCTTTCAACCACTTTTCTATAGCAATCAATTGACCCACTATCTTTCTTCTAAACTCTTTGAGCATCTTACCTTCACTAACAGGTAACAACTCATTTGATATGTTTTTTTTTTTAATAAGCTAGTACAAGTCTATTTGCAAGCATGATATTAGTCCTTGCTTCTAAGGAAAAGTTTAATGGTAACTTACAATTTGGAGAATTACCTCATTTATGTGAAAAATTATACAATATACATTTTTTAGATTGTATCTTTAGCTGTACCTTTAAAAATTCCTCCCCTCCCCTTCTTTTCTTCCTCTCTTTTTTAACTTCTTTGAATTGCCTGTGTGTGCGCGTGTGCATGTGTATATAGAGAATTGAAAATGTGCTTCATGCTTTGAGGTATTATATAAATGGAGATTCAAGAGTGATTTCAAATAAGATCATTATGTTTGTTCTGACAAATATCTTAGAGTACTTTGAATATAAATTAGGTGGGAGACTCTGATTCATATATTGAGAAATTAATTTCTCCAAAAATACTTTAAAGATCTATTGTTTTACCTTCTAACAGACAAGATCAAGTTCTGATGAACCATAACAGACAAACAGTAAAGATCAAGAGTAACTGTGATGAGCTGTATCTTTCTTACTCTATACTCTATCAATTATCAAGTAATGTTACCTAATACTGAGAAAGTTAATCCGCTAGAAATTACTGTAATTAATAAATAAATACATGAATAAATAGTAAAGAATAGCATGATTTTATAGCAATGTAGTTCTTAGAATCTTTGGCAACCTTCTTTTAAAATCATAAAGCAACCAAGAAAAAAGAACTGAAAAGCTTTGAAAATTACATGACTATCAAGTCTCTGAACCTAATAACAAAGAAAAGATACTGGTAGATCACAAAGAGTAGAAAGGAATATTGAAGAAGGGGTTTGAAAGCAAATAAATCTCAGGCTGCCTTTGTAGCCATGTGCCAGCAACCAAGTCTCACAATGAAGAAAAATAAGAACACACAGTAAGTATCCAAACTCAAGGACAATTATATACATTAAAACAAACAAATAAATAATACTGTATTAATTTTTAATACTAATTTAGTGATCAGGGAAATACAAAATGGAAAAAGGGTGAAGTAAAGAGTCAAAGTATGAATTTTCTCCCTGCTACCATCTATAAAGAATTACTCTAATTTTAAAATGGGTTTATATCCATCAGCAAAGACATTTTCATTTCTCTTAAACTGGAAATAACTCATGTTTCATGTCAGACAATATATGATTTGCAGTCTTCCTTGTCTCTCAACCATTTGGGATTAAGGAAAAAAAAATACAGATCTTATGCATTATTGCTGGTACTCTATGCATTGTGTGAAAGGTCCAGAATATCAGAGTAGTTAAAAAGCAGTACTGTCATAATTTGCTACCATACAGAAAAACTGGCACATTAAGAATGGATTGCAGAATTCTTTCTGGTATCTGGATCATCCTAAAATACAATGAATGCATCTTGTGTTTACAAAAAATATTTTGGTACTGAGTTCAGAGGCAAATTCTATTTCTAACATTCCCTAAGTGGAGGCACAGTAACAAGAAGAGCTGTGGTGCTGTTAAAATCTGGAATGCAAGTCCCAAACCAAGCTGAGGATACATTCTGCATGAGATAGTATATATATTTACATGATAAAAGGTACAGACTGAAATGAATCTTGAAATAACACTGAAATGAAACCTCAGCTTCTGTTATTTCAGTTTATTCTATGTGGACCAGGATAGCTCAGTACTTCTTAAGGTGGTGGCCCCCAAACTTTGTGGTACCATAATCCCTAAAATAATAAATAATTTGTCTTATTCATTTAAATGATAAATAAAATTACTAGATTACTCTGCGTATAAGCCACCAGGTCTGCCCATACCATGTCCAAGCTCCAAGCTCTGCTTGGAAAACCTGACTGTCTATTTTATTCTCCAGCTGATTGTTTTGGTTTTCTATGTAGCATATGTTGTCCAGGATAGACTTTGGATTTCTAAGAAGTTTCCAATGTGCTGCTCTCCATTTTGCTCATCACCTCCTCTGTCACCACCTTCTTTTTCCACCACTTGCCTTCTTCTTTCTCCCAACAATGGAACAGCATCTAAAGGCTGTTATTTCCACCATTTAAAGGCTCTCTTCTATTAATTGTCTTTGGCATCCCTGATATTGAGAACTGCCATTGTAGAATAAAATCCTTAAAACCCAAATTCTGCTTCAACTGTTTTATGTCCTAGTTGCTGTAATCATCAGAATTCAAGGCTTTTAGTTGCTGGTCCACTGGGGGAGAAGGAAAGACAGGGAAAAAAAGGCAGCTGCAATTGATGGGACTTGCAAGTGGAATGTGTAGCAGCAGAATTCAGAGATCTTGGAGCCTTAGGTTTACTCCAGATAGAGGCTGGTACTGTGACAACCAAATAATCATTCAAAGAATACAGAAAAACAGCTGGCTTGTCCACTTAAGTGGAAGTAATTTATCAAAGCCCCCCCCCCATTAATGTCCACAATCAAATTTGTTTGCAACAAAGGAGCTACAACTCACAATATGAGAACTCCTATATTAAGGGTATCAAACTGTGGCAGATTGATGCATATATTTGAATAAAAGGCATTTGGAAATAACAGTGGCTGACCTGTACAGCCTGTTATTTGTCAGGTGCTCCGTAGCCTAATAGTACATATTGCTAATAAGGAATTTATCTACTTTTCACTGATAAATTAATGTTGATTAAATACCAATGTTGATTCATGTACTGCTGTATTGGAATAAATTAGGTATAATTCAAACTTAATTTTTTACTGATTGCCATGCCAGATTTTAAACAATGGCCAATATACTTAAAAAGTAAGACCCTGATTAAAGTACATTCCAACTTAAACACTGAAAATTCAGGATAAACATGAAGACAGCATACTATTTTAAATTTTCCAAAAATATGTGTCATTACCTTTCTCTAAGAGATGAGCGATTTATCACAGGAGTTGAAAAAAAATTCTGCAACGATGCAGGTGCTGAATGTATTAATAGACGATCTGAATAAACCTGCCTACTGCTCATTTTTGTGATCAAGTGCTCATCATAGGTGTCAGGAAAACAATCAAAGTGTTTCTCATGATGCGATCCAATAATCTGTTTAGAAACACACACACACAAAAAAACCCTCCAAATGATCTTTGTAGAAGATACAGTTAATCCCTTAGTTAAATCTATTGTTAACAATGTAACAAATACATTTCATAATATATTAGGATGATTGCAGAGGCAGAAATGAAACATAAGAAATTCAATTCTTTCCATCGCCAATGCTATTTTTTCTGTCAAATCACGTAATTTAACATTTTTACTACAAATTTCAAATTTATGATATTTAATTGTTTTATACAAAAAGTTGGATATATTTCTTTGTTTTAGGTCAGTGATGGCGAATCTTTTAGAGACCAAGTGCCCAAACCACAACCCAAAACTCAATTATTTATCACAAAGTGTCAGGGCTGCATCAGCATTGTGGTACCCTTGGGGGGCGAGGGGTGTGGCCCACTGGGTGGGCGTGGCTGTGATGTTCATGGTAGACTGAATGGGCGTGGCCGGGGTGGGCATGGCCATCTTCATGTTGTTCATGGGGAGATGCCTGTGGGGCCTGGGCAGTATTGGGGGAGATCCAGGGGGTCTCTGGTGGGTGGGGTGGTGGACAGGAGGCTCATCCTGCGGGGTGAGGCAGGGGGTAGTGTGGGGGTGCCATTGCTGCAGGGCAAGGTGAGGCAGGAGCAGCTGCTGCCTGACACCATCAGCCCCCACACACAGAGGCCAGCAAGTGCATGGGGGCATGCTTTACCACCTCTACTTGAGCTTGCTAGCCAGCTGCTTCACCTCCTTTGTGGTAGGTGGGACTGCCGATCCAGGCGCCAGCAGTGGCCTAATGGACCTGCATGAGCTGGTGGCGGAGGCAAGTGTGCCCACAGAGAGGGCTCTGAGTGCCGCCTCTGGCACACGTGCCACAGGTTCGCCATCACTGTTTTAGGCAATAGGGAAATAAGTGGGCAAAGACTATCAAGATGAATTTCAACAAGGGCAAATGCAATATCCTACAATTGAGCAGAACAAATAAAAAACACCAAGTATGGGGAGGACTGTATTGGGCAGTAATATGTATAAAGATTTGCATTGCTCTGACCACACCTAGAATCTTTTGTTTAGTTTGAGGAACTGTGTTTCTAGAATGGCCCTGCATACTCCTGCATATAGAGAGTGCCAAGATCATAAAGAGCCTGGAATAATTCTTATGAGTTATAGTTGGAAGCTCTAGATATGTTTCTCTCAAGGTGACATGAAATAAACAATGGGTTTTAATTATAATGAAGTAGATTTCAGTTGGGCATAAGGAAAATATTCCTAAAGATATGAAACTGCTCAATAATGAATTATTTCAGAAGATAGTAGTTGTGCTTAAACAAAGGCTTGAGTTCACCTGCTAGGAATGATACAGTAAAGGATTCCTCAACTAGGTAGGGATTTGGCTATGATTTCCAAGTTCCAATCCTTTCATTCTACTATTTTGATAGGTTTGAGTGTTTCAGATGTTCAATCAAGAAATAAAAAATGTCCTTTAAGTTCGTGAATTTTTCATATCTTAACTCAAACATATACTCGCTGATAAAGCAGGTGACAATGACAATACTGTGCAGAAAATCAAAGGATTATAAGAGGTAATAGTAGTAAAGTTGGAAGGGACCTTGGAGGTCATCTTACAGTTAATGAAATATTCTGTTTCTGTACTTACTTTAGTATTTTTGGGTCTGTAACTGCCAAGCAGACTAGGATCTTAAAAAGAAAAAAAGTTAGTAAAATTAAAGAATTTTTATTTACAATGATAAGATATTAGTAGTAGAATATTTAGATATAAAGTCATTTTTCAAAAAATACACAAAGTATTTTGAAAAAGTACAATCATTTAAACCTTTAAACTGAGAACACTGGTGTGCTTGAATACTACAGTCTTAATTGTAATAAAGCACATAAACTAGTATTTAGATAATGAGATAATTTACATTTGTGACATCATTATTCAAACTGATACAAGAGCCTCTGGCTCCAAGTCATTATTTCTGAAATATTTTTCTCAATAACACCCATATTTTTCTTTTTTTGATGTCTACTCTTAAAACAAACTACCATCACAATACACCTGAAAACTCAGGAGATTTCAGAGACTTCTTCCCATCCTACTAAGCTATAAACATCTGAACGTGCTTTCCCACTCCAACATCTGAGAGGAGGCTGCCCAAAATTCTGTTTTGATGTATATGGGACCCAGGTATGACAACTGAAGAGGAACTTGGAATAGGCAAGGGTTGTACTCATTTTCAGTAGGAGGAGCCAAATGAATCCAGAAAGAAGAACAATATATTTTTGCTTGCCAATTGCAATTCCTATTCCAAGTTCTTCTTCAACGCCTGCATAGATTTCTTGCATATTGCCAGGCAGGAGATCTGATCAGGAAGAATACAGCTCTGAAATTATTAGGACTCAAATAAAACAGCATTCTAGGTTTGAATGTGGGGACACAGTGGCACAGCGACTTAATGACGTTGGAAATGCTGGCCAGAAATGGTTTGCACTCCAGCGGTTTGAGGCCAGCTCCGCGAAACCGCTTAAGCTCCCGCTGCTCATTCCCTGACTCATGGCCACCCAGCAGTTTGAAAACATGTAATATTGCAAGTAGATAATTGGGTACGTCAGTGGGAAAAACCTAGCTGCATTCGTATGTGCAGAGAGCAGAAGCTGATGCGTGACTTGCCCGGAAGTGAAGCAATGCAACATGAGGCGAGGTGAGGTGAGACCAGGAATTCAGAAAAGCCAGCAACCTGAAACCTCAGCTGATATAAGCTGCCTCGCCCCCCTGGGGTGTACTAAGAATAGGGAGACAAGTACTGAACAAAATAAACTGGCAATTTAGGCTGTCAGGACTGCATTGTGTCTAGCATTTGTAGGTTTCCCTGACATTGTATGCCATACCCTTAATAAATAATCACAAATGTATTCTATCACTGAAAACAACGACCTTTGGGATAGTTGTTAGGTACAATTTTATTCCACCTAGCATTAATTACTGTCTTATAGAAACATATTTTGATCAACAGAAGACAATTGTACAACTAAGATCCTAGCGTGTATCCTGTTATAGGATGTATGAATGTGCATTTTGATATTCAGTTTTCCTTTTCAATATTCTGTTTCTGAGTTTTGCTTCTTTAGAAGGCCCATCTACAAGAATTGGATTTTTTTTTCCTTTTTGAATAAAATGCTTTCCTATATAGTGGTCAAGCAGCTCTCTTCCCCGACTGGAGGAAAGATTGATAAGTCATCTACTTTCCTTCTGTTCCAATTTTTTTAGCTAAAGTTCTTTTTCCTTGTTAACCTTTCTATTACCACTTTTCTGCATGCAAGATCTCTTGAGGCATCAAAGTCCTGCCCTTCTCTCACCTCCTGATTTCCAAAGCAATGCAGGCCATTCAGGAACTGTTAGTCTTGAATTACATCATTTCCAATCACCAGCTCCTCCGAAGGAGGTAGCAACATAAGAGGGTCATTCCCATAAGATATATCCATTCAGAAGCTAAGGATCAGCATGAAAGCAATTCAGATCTAGTTCTAATAATCAGAGGTAGCTTGATTATCTTTGTATCCATCCATCCACCCATCCAACTCTTAAGCAAAATAACAGCTCCTACAGAAGTAGAATGCACCCATAAGTGTTTTAAAATATAACAACAAAGCTTTTATTTAAATGTATTTCTTTGTGGTAATCTTTTAATATTATTGAACACAGCACAATTGGCAAAACAACTATTTCGATCTTACTTTATAAAATGAGACAATTGATTTTATATTCTAACATATATCAGTGATGGCAAACCTTTTAGAGACCGAGTGCCCAAACTGCAACCCAAAACCCACTTATGCATCGTCGGCTGCCGGGTGGGTGTGGCCGATTGGGTGGGCGTGGCTGCGGTGGTAACAGTAGACTGGATGGGACTAAAAAGTTCAATAAATCAATTCCAACTTTGCAAGATCTTTTTTTTTCCCTGCAAGAAGTTGATATTGACTGATTGATTGAACCTTTTTTTTTGTACACGGCGGCGGAGGCCTAAAGCGAAAAGGTTTTATAAAACCCAGCTGAAGGCCTAGAACTGGGCCAACGGTGCGCGTGCCCACAGAGAAGGCTCTGAGTGCCGCCTCTGGCACCCATGCCATAGGTTCGCCACCACTAACATATATGAACAAAATTCAAATTATTTAAAGAAATTCAGTGCTTCTTTTCATTTTAATATTGTATGGCATGGGAAATACTGCAACCTTTTTTCTTCTATTAGATATCACTGAAAATATGTGATTTACACTTTAGCTCTTTTGTGATTATGAAAAAAAAACTGTGACATGTACTCTTTCCTCCCATACCACTGCAACATGGAAAGAAATGTCAAACAGCTTTCACATCTCCATATATAATGGGGGGGGATTCTGGGATATCAGCTAAAATGGAAAAGATTTAGTATACATCAGAGTATAAAATGCTATAAACAGGATGTAGATAATGTGAAAAGGCTTTACTGTCAAGCAGAACAGTTTATTTAGACGAATTATTTTTTATCCCAAGGATATTTATAATGATAGCATCCTCTCTTCTCAGACTACTGAAGGTTTTTTCAACTAATTGATTGCTGAAAACAATGCATCCCAATAGTAACAGAAACAAACAAACAAAAATACTTCTAGGACACATAATAGTATAACTGTAAAATAGTTCAGAGAAGAGGCAAATGCTATAAGAAATGAAAAAAAATATAGTTTTCCTTGAACAGATAACAGGAATGACTGGAAACAACAGAACACACAATCCAAGAGATATAAATGGGAAACAAGATGTAATATACTTCCTAAAAATAATGTAAATTTATTTTGTAAGGCAATTGTGTGACCCAAGTCACAAAATTCCCACAGTAAGACATTGAATGCAATGACTTTAAAAAATTTCTACAAAGAAATTGCTGCCAATTAAATAGAATTGCACTAGCAGCTTTAAGAGCGCTTAGAATTGCAGTATTTTTTGAAACATGTTATGTCAGTGAAAATGTAAGAAATCAGATACTTTTCTCCTGAACCAGAAATGTCAATGAACTAGACAAAGCAAAAACATAATTAAGGCAACTAAAATAGGTTTTAAACCTATAACTGCCACATCTTTTGTATGCTAATAATACTTGCCATAGGCTGCTCCTTCCTTAGGACGACACCAAGTATGAACCTGAGGTGAGGGGGTCAACTCTTCAACCTAAAATGAAGTAATTATTAAAACGTCTTAATATAGGTAGTACTCTTTAATGACCATAACTGGGACTTGCAATTGTGCCACTAAGCAAAGCTGCTACTAACTATCAGGAAGGGAGGGTATGTTAAAGGCCCAGTCAGTTAAAGAATTTCAGCTGGCAGGGACTAAGAAGAGAACAATCTCTGTCACTGCCCCCGCCCTACGGAACACCTTGCTCCCAGAGGGGAGGCTGGCCTCATTCTTCTGACCTTCCAGAAAAGCATCAAGACCTGGTTCTGCCAACTGGCAAAGGGAACCAAGATTGGTTTGCAATCTTAGGGTAGTTGGTAGCTTGAGGATACTCCCTATGGCTTTTTAATTTTTTTTTTATGTTTTTATATAGTTTTATGGATTTTATTGTAAACTGCCCAGAGTCACTTAGATAATGAGATGGGCAGTATATAAATTTGATAAATACATGTGGGGAAAAAATCACACGACCGTAACTCTGCTCTAGCTGGAAAGATACAAGGCTATCAATTTCAAACCTTTATGAAACCATATATTGTAATGCTCAAGTATCTGCTTACTGTCTTGTATATATCAAAAGCAATGCAATTATGCTGTAATGTAAGGCTGGGAGCCATGAGTGCACTGTGCAAATAATTTACAGTACTCTGTAAATATGGTGGCGGGGAATGTCAAGCAAAGGAGAGACTGCCTACAGAAATTGCTTACTTCCCCCCTCACACTCATTGCAGAGTAGAGAGAATGGAGAGAAAGAGACTTCAAAAGAATAAGCTGTTTGTTCTTCTACAAGTCAAGAACAATAGTATAGCACTGGCAGTGAAAAAGGGTTAGGCAAAGAGAGATTATCTACAGAAATAGTTTGGGTTTTGTTTCCTACCCATCCCCTGCAGAGCAGAAAGATTGAAGAGAAAAAGATTTCAACAGAGTAAGTTGTCTTGCATAGCAAATTGTGGCTCCACAGACTGCCAACACAATCACACTGCTTTCAATGCGTAGAACAGCAAAGAGCTTATTTTCTTGCAATTTCTTTCTCTCCAATTAATCTTAAAGGGGTAGGGGGAGAAAAACACAGGTTGGCACAGGACAACTGTATATGTATTGACTGTAATCGCAGTGACATGATTGAGGGATACTGTGAATTCTTAAATAGTCTGCAAAGTTATTTTTTGCAGCATCATACGTTTAAACTGTCACCGAACAAATGGTCAGTAAGTGAGAACTACCTGTATAATGTAAAGCTTGGGTAGAACTATGCCTTCTCGGGCAGAGCTGGTCTGTAATGTGGGGGTCTCTCCTGGACTTACCACTCCTGATCTAGAGAACCTTTATACATCCACATCTGGCACATTAGCTGCAGCCTACCCTTTTGTCCACAATCACTAAGGCTTGTGTCACATTGCAGCTGAACTATTGCAATTTGTTCTACAAGTATTTCTTACTTTCAATAAGAATATTAAAATAAAAGAGTGTGACAAAAAGTTGTCTAACACTATCAAGTAAAATTACAAAGAAAATTATGGTCACAAAGAAAGAATAAACATTCAGGCATGTCCAAAGGTGGTGTTCCTAATTCATATGAGATCCTTTTCTAGGAATTTCTTAAAAAGCCATGTTTTTAGTTTTCCTAAAACTCAGCAGTGGGACTAGTTTGATCTTTGGATGTAAACTATCCTTTAGAAAATGACCGTGAGGTTTGACTCCTCAGAGGTTTGACTTCTCAGACATTGCACATAACAGTACCAAAACAAAAGGCCTTGAGACTCAATCTCTATGTCCCCATTGCCACAAAAAAAGCACTGCAATATAGTGCCCCCTCATCTACTATAACCTATGCAGGATACCATGGATAAGGTTATTGAAAGTTGCTGAGATGCTCAGCATCTTCAGTAGGATTGTACTTTCCTTATACTGAGCCTGCCGAAGATCACTTAACATGGCAGCTGATGCAATTTTTATTTCATTTTTAAACCAGAATCCTGATGGATCAGGATCCAAGTAATTTATTTAATTCAAGATTATCTGAAGCTATATCTCAATCACCTATTTAACAACCTTCCCTAAAAAGGAAAGATTGGAGCCACAATAGCTAGGTTGAGCAACAGCTTCTCGGGGACAGGCACAAGTCTACTTCTTTCAAGATGGGATTAAATGCCTTAAGGTGCTAGATGACCCAGCAGCCAATTCTTCAGCCTGGATTTCCAACAGAGAACTGAGAGCTATAATGACACAGGTTTGGATTTGAACTCTTATTCATGTCCCTACATACTTATTTGTCTTTCTTATTCCACCAGAACTCTAGGAATCTCACCTCCATTCAATTTGATTGACAACAATAAAGAAACGGCTTGCCACTGCTTTCTTTCAAGATGTTTTTCTAATATCTCACTCTAGCCTAAACCCCTAGAATTTCTGATGATCTCCCATTCAAGAACTATAACCAAATCTGATCCTGCTTAATTGTTCGACATCAGGTAAAGAACTTGAATGCTACTTAATCTTTCCTCTAGACCAGGAAAAAACTAGTTGTCACAAAAAAGTAAAATTAAGTAAAAGCTTTCTAAAATAACTGGAAGAGAAAGATTAGATCTATGCTTAAACTGTTACCGTTAGAGGATACATACACGACGAATTACAAATGGAGGTCTGTCTGTTTCTTTCCTGAAATCAAATGGCCCTAGGTCTAAGTGAGCCAGGCGTTGTCTGATTTGCAGAAGCTCACACATACGTCTCTTTGTATAAGGAGAAGGAGATCGAGAAAGAGATGCTACTGTGGGTTGCTCATAACTCTTTGTTGCTAAAGAGGGCCTATTTCTCTCAGGTGAAGCTGTGTTCTTCTTTGAAGATTTGATCTGTCGCATTCCTTCTGTAGATGAATGAAACAGTCCATCTAAATTATCCTGAATTAAAGGAAGAAATTATTAAAACTAAAAAGCTTCAAAGTATTTGGTCTCACCACTGAACATATCATAACCAATAATTATCTTGCTTGATATCTCCCTAATTAATGAATAATTCTGAGATCACATATTTTGCTTATGTTGAAACCTCAAACAATCCTTCTCAATTTATTTTTAAAAAGTGAGAGGGGAGAAAAAGGGAAAAAAAAACCCTAACAGGTAATAATTTTATTAGAATGTCCTTTTTCCTAACCATATGGTCTGATGATAAGTTCTTGGAAACTAAACAGTTTCCATAAAACTTCAACCAGTTTAATAAGTTATTATCTTAGCTTCTAAATGAAAAAAAGCCAGTTTTTCTTTCTTTAGCCCTATGTTTCCCTACTATCTAACACTATTTACTGCCTCAGCTACCCTACAGCTGAAAAGAACCATTTTCCATGGTCTGAAAGAATAGCAAATCTACCTCAGCTAGTTGAAAAATAAATAGTAGCACCCAAGATAGCATGCTGATCGGCGGGCAATTCCTTTTCTCCTCCTGTTTTTGAAGGGGAAACTAGGAAGGACCCAAGCAGACCTTAGGATGACCGTTTACCTATGGAGAAGAGGGATCTAGAAAATCTTAGTTCTCGCTAAGGAGTGATCAGAAGGTCAGATCTCTTACCATCTTTTTCCTTTAGCTATTCATTTTTTAAAAAGGTTGTCTAAACTTTAAATCCATTTTTTGAAGTGTTTCTAATCTTTGATCTACATTTTAACCAACTAGTTGACTGCTTACCTATCTTACAACCCAATGCTGGACTTTTATTACTTTTTTCTGTTTTTTTACGCTTTACTATTGAATTCTAAACCAGGAAGTCAGTGGTGAAAATACATTTTCTGCAGCGAAAGTCATCCAATTGGACTTATATTTTATACAGGATTATATTACAATTTTTGGTTCTTTGTAGCACTTACAAAAAGAGTTCTGGTCTTTATTTTTTAACTTTTGATGGAAAAATTACCTTTCTTATAATCACTTTTTATTTTGAAAAATAATTAATCTCAACTTTTCTCTGTGAAGGTGGGATATGATTTATCTGCTTCTCTTGTCCTTGGAAGGAAAACTGTGTTTTTCACAATGTTCACAAACAAGATAAAGTTTTCTGGAAAGCATTTGAAAAAAGAACGCTCTACAATTCACAAAGATTTTTTTTAAATGTAAATAAAAAGTTGATAGGTCAACAACAGCTTTGAACCAAATCCAGGATGATACCCAAAAACAGGAAATAATAGTTGGGCTTGATTTGCAACTTGATGAACTGGAATCTGATTTATTGCTGTCGGATATGAAAAAGAAAAAATCTGGTCTGAAAATTATAGATCTGCCAGAAAAGATTGAAAGGAATATGAATAAAAGAAATTCTGAGATAATGGAATTGATAAATGATGGACTGAACTTTCTTGGCAAGATGAATGCTGTGTTTTTAAAAAAGACTTTTTGAACAATGGATGCTGCAGAGATATTTACAAGAGTCTTATGAACCTGGGAAATGTGATGCAATTGTTGGCAAAGTTTCCAATTAAAATCCTAAGAAAAGGTTTTATTATTAAATGCCAAATAAAGATATTTGATCCTGAATGGAGTAATGGGGTGATTTGTAGTAGATAATAGCAATACCAATAGCACTTAGGCTTATACACCACTTCATAGTGCTTTAAAGCCCTCTCTAAGAGATTTACAGAGTTAGCATATTGCCCCCAACAAACTGAATCCTCATTTTACTTATTTTACTCTTACTCATTTACCAAGGATGGAAGACTGTCAACCTTGAGCTGGTAGGATCAAACTGCTAGCAGTTGGCAGAATTAGTCTGCAATACTGCATTCTAACCACTGTGCCACCATGGCTCTAGATCAGGGGTGTCAAACTGCTGGCTCTTAGACCAGATGCGTCACGCCAAAACCACGCCCACCCCATTGCTGGCAATGGGAAAAAAGTCACGATATGTCGCAACACATCACATGACATCGCTAGTTTGATACCCGTGCTCTAGATGAATAAGAAACCGTTGTAGACTTTCAATGAGTTAATTACAATAATAGATTGTTAACAGAGGGCTTTGAAGTATAGCTTTGCTGTTGATTAATGTTAACTATTTTTTCTTCACACACAAACATATACGTATACGTATATATATGTAATGTAATGTAATGTATGATATGTCAAATTGGGTTACAAATAGACATCAAAGTTTATGAATCTTGGACCTGTTTTGCAAGGGGTAAGCTATTATTGTTGCAATATATTTGTCAGTGTTCAACTAGGGAGGATAATGTGTTTTTGTTTTTTTGTCCTTTTAATTCGAATCTTTTTTTTTCTTATTTAATGTTTTTGTCTAGTTTTGTTTTATCTTTGCTATTCTTTTCCCTTTGGATGTTGTATTTTATTTTTTGAATAAAATAAACATTTATCGATAAAAAAGAAAAATGAGTAGTAAAAAGCCGAAGTTTTTCTGACAGTACTTAATGATTATACCAAAAACTACACAGAGTGAAAGAAACATTTATCACAGGAATAATAATATTTTGTCTTGCTAACAAATGATTGTCGAATACTTTTAACTATTTTAACTGTTTTATTAAGCATATAAGATTTTACTCAGCAGTCTTTCACTTTCAAGCAAATATTACAATTTAAGCAATCTTTTATTTAAGAATGAAGTTTACATGAAGCTTCATAAGAGTTATTTCAACAAAGAAAGTACACAAGAATAAATGTAATAAAATATTATCGGAACTGTTTGCCATTTTATACTAACCTGCTTCTGCTTCTGAACTTTTGGTGAACTTAACAGACTGTCTGAAATAACACAAGTTGTATGAAACTTCAGTTTTGGTGCAATTCCCTAAGAGACAATAATTGAACATAAAGCTCCAACTGAATAGATACATTATGACAAAAAAATAAATGATATATACTGTAACAAACTATTCCTAATTTTAATAATTTCTTTTGTTAATTTCAGCCTTTAATAAAAATAGAACAGAAATAGTAACTGTCAAGAAGATAACATTTGCATTTCTGACAATTCAATTACTAGCAATTATATTGCTTTTCTGCAACAATTAAAATCTGATGTTTATTTCAACTTGTTGCTTTTTTAAAAGCATTTCTCAGGAATTTTCAAGGCATATTATATAATACTAATTAAAAGTAAAGTCATTCTGTTCAGTCATCACTCATATCACTTCTAAATATTTTGAAATATATACTAGAGAAGTTAGGATATCCTTTCTAATAACTTACCATTTCTTTCATATTTGTATTAAGCATATTGGTGATAACAAAAGACATTGTTTACAACATTCTTCTCACATTTGTAAAGCAAACAACCAAGTAGAACATGGGTACAGTATCTTTATCCAAAGCTTATATAAGTAAGGAATGAAGTGTTAGAATTCATAAAAAGTTGAGTCAATGTAATTACAAATCATATAATTTCTGATTCCTGAATATCATGGATATATGTATAATACTGTCTTCCTGATTTGTACCTAATCATATGGCTTATTCATCAAACCCCCTACTATTTACTCTGAACAGCACCAAATTTTTCCACTCGCAAGGGACATGGAAGGCACACCTGGATCATACATTGCAAGCAGCCAATAGGTCCTTAAATGCAATCAAACATTACTTTTACACAGGCAGAGGTCAATTAGTACCTGCTGCCTTAAAACTTTTCAAGGCCAAAACATTGCCGCAAATTCTATATGGGGCACAAACAGGAATCCTTGCAAAGAAAAACTTGCTTAAAACCATACAAACCAAATTCCTGCGAGCCATCTTAGCTGCACCCAAAGGAACCCCAAATGCCCAATTAAGAATTGAGACAGCCATGCCCCAAATCCAGGTAAGAACCTGGAAGATGATGATCATTTACTGGCTTAAAATGCATTTCTTTCCAGAGGGACTGTCCCCGTTAGTGCTGACTGACAACTTCCCTTCCCTTGGAAGCAGGCGATAGATCATAAACTGGGCTCTTATGGGCTCTCTTCGGTATTCTTAATGTCCCTAGGCTTTGACCAAGCAAAGCAAGTAGTATCCAATAGAATAAAGGACATGGAGTTCCAAGAAGAATTAAATAGGTTGCCTTGCCACAGTAGGGATAGAATCAAACAGGGTGTGTGGGAATCGGCAACATATCTGAATGATCTGACCTTCCCAAAACAAAGAATAGCTTTCTTCAGAGCCAGATTTAACATTCTTCCCTCAGCACTCCTCCAGGGCAGGTATAAGAGAACACCAATAGCAGAACAGGTATGTATATGTGGTAAAGGAGAAGTCGAAGACATCTCACATGTTTTATTGTACTGTGAGTTATACCGAGTTTATAGGACAGCATATATTCTCCCCTTATTAGAGAGATTGCCAGGGAGAGCAGACAATTTTTATGTAGCCTTTCTCCTCCAGGACTCAAACCCTTCTATCACGCATGCAGTGGCAAAATACTGTGTTGCGGCAATGTCCACAAGAAAAAAATTGGTTACAGATTTATAGCCATCAACTTGTGCCAATTTTGGGGAGATATCTCTAATAATGTTTGGAACATTATATTTACTCACACACTAATCGGCTATCCACTCACGTAAACTAGGGAGTGACCCTAACATTTTGAGAACATGTATTTTCTTAACAGGGATGTTATTATTTACTATTAATGTCAGTACTTTTATTATTTTTTTCTTAATATATTGTAAAAAGTGATGTCTATTGCTGGTCTATGACCATAATAAAGTTATTATTATTATTAAAAAAAAACTTTACAGTGTGTGATAGTAAAAACAAAGGAGAAATATAAATACAAAAGTACATCCCAACTCACTGATTTAGCAATACATATCAAATTAATGTAATGTGAGCAACAAGAAGAAAGTTTATTTCAAGGAGAAAAAAATAATAGTTTTCCAACAGAGAACAGGAAAAATAAATAGTATCTTAGCCTACTGGGCCATAATAGTTTGTATTTACAATTTTCAAGATTTTTTTTTTTCTTCCCTTATCTGCAGTTCTGAGATTCCCTGATAATCTCCCATCCGAGCACTACCTAGGAATGACTCTCGTTACTTTCTGAGTCTGGATAAGTTTCATTATAAATAATAAAAAATAAAAATGGTTCTAAATTATTAACCATTAATATGTCAAATAAAACCCAAACATAGATGAACATTTATATTCTTGTGTTCTTGTGATGTATTATATATAAAGCACACTTACTATAAAATCATAGCCCTTTTTCATTAAAACCTCACGAACTGAGTTTCGTGGTTGATGGATAAACTTAGGAGCAGGAAAAAGGAAATCTCTTGTATTTTCTTCATAATTGGCTAGAATTTCTCCCACTGAAAGTGAATTACATGTTTTAACTGAAAAACAGTAACTAAATATTAATACATAGAGAGATGTAGGCATTGAAGCATACAAAAAGAGACCATGATACAACAAAGCTAAGAATGTTCAGATTCCCTTGATCCCAACAGAAATACGAAATTTCATCTTTGCCTGCTAATGCCACAGAGCAATATCCCATTAGATTAGAAAAGCCTATGATAGTACTAATCCAAGATGGAATCAAAAAACTATCTTGAAATGTTTATGGTGATATCCAAGGTCAACAATAAATATGGCTTCCTTTGGTAGAAGTACAATATTAAACATATTATTTTGATTTTGGAATTCACCAACAATATAATCTATAAATTAATGAAAATAAGGGTTCCTAAAAATCATGGCTTTTTGAAATGCAATGAAGAAAACAAAATTATTGAGAGGAGCTAATATTATCAACCCAAATTTAATGTTCAACAATTTTGTATGCATGTTTGTGCGCCGCTTCAGAAAACCTACTTGAAATTATGAATCCAAATTTATGCACAACAAGAAATCTGGGGTGACTGTGAAGGGTTTTTATATTTCTATTCTATTTCATTCACTTGAAGTCAAAAGTGAATAACTACAGAACTAATTACCTTAATAGTGCAAAGACAGGAACTGGTTATAATTACTGACCTCTACATTTTGATTAGCATTTCTTCTTAGGCGCTACATCCAAATAAGTTGTTTCACATATACAACAAAATTCGTATACATATTTGAAAAACTGTAGGAAACTGATCACAAGATAAAATCTACCTACAGATTCTGCACTGAAGAATCAATTCAAGTTTTAACAAGCTGGTAAATACTGTGCACAGCTAGTATCTATTAATGGACAAACATTGTAGTCTAAAAACATTTTTTTGAAGAACTATATTGTATAGAATAACTTGTTATACACAAAAATTTACCATAGAACTGTTATAAAAACATTGATACTATACCTGGAGGAACAGTTTGAATTAACTGAACCACCGATGTGTCAGCTAGAAAAAGGGGAAACTATAATCAGAAGTCATTTTAATAACAAAGTTTAAAAAACAATCAGATTATCTGTAATTTTGTACAGCATATTGCATTGTTATTATAATTGACATCTATTGGTTTCTGGAAAGAGGGGGGGAGGGAGGGAAGGGAGGGACGATGGGGGGGCACAGTTTAGCTTCTAACCATCCGGATTCCCATAAATTGGATTTACTGACCAGAAAATGAAATTATCATGAATCAGATGATCTAAATGCCAGTTTATTGTTACTCTTGAAGTAAAATCCTTACGTAGTTTTTCTTTCAAGAAGGAATGTTCTTTTTCTGAGATTTTTTCTACCCCACATTAGATAGCGATAAAGACCCAAAACATTTTCCAGTAAGCTATGAAATCATACTGAAAGCTCCAGGTGTCACTCTAGGTTAGAAATTGGTATTTGATCTGTGGAGCAAAGTCCTCTCTTTCTTTATCTCAAAATATCCCCGTCTTGCCAGGACTAAAGTATAAGACAATGCATAATCATAATTGGAGTTAGGGAATGTTCTGGGCTGAGTGGAGCTCAAGCATTTTGGTCAGTAGGTAGATATAGCAGTAGGTATACCACATTCTAAATAATAATATGATATCTTTTCTCATCACTAACTCAGTAAGAGCATGCAGCTAATTTCTCAGTTTAGCTGTTTTTAATACATAAATCTGGCATATATCAGGTGGTAAATGTTTTTGCTTTCAAATTTTTTCAGCTCAAACCAGGTTTAATAATTTATTATTTATTTTTACTGTAGTTTTGCATACCACTGTCTGAAAGCTTAGCGGAACTTACTTCTGAGGGAATAGGATGAAAAGCTAAGTATTTAATTAGTATACCCAGTATTTCAGGCATAATGATATTCAAGGCAAACTACATAATATCTGCAGAGTGTCTTCTAATTTAACACTAACTAGACTCAGACCTATTTTTAATGCCCTTTGCTGAAAAACAAACTGATGAGCATCTTAAAAAATCAAAAATAATGAACCTGAATATGCTATAATTGACACTCTATCTTAAATCCTATCATTCTCTTTTTAATCACCCTTTTGTTATTTAGGAATACTGACGAAGTGGAAGGGGGCCTGTGACAAACCTCTAAAATCATGAAAGTTTCAGTTATTTAAAAGTAGATGTTCCTAGAAAATATACTAAATAGTTCTATATATAATCATCTAAAATATTAATGAGATGTTCCAATAAAATCATTTTTATTTTAATAGTTTAATTTGAATTTCAATTATTTCAGAGAAAATTTCTAGTACATTACATACTATGACTGAACTTCTTACGAAATCTTCAATTGATTTTTGATGTTGTATACTATAAAATAATTTATACATGGAATAAAAAGTAATTAAAAAAATCCAAAAACCTACTTTCAAAAAGTTCAATAAGATCTCCTGGGTCAACTACATCAGAATATACCTAAAATGAAAGTTTTAGAAAATGAAATGGAACAATTCTGCTAAAACAATCCTGAGGATTTAACAAATATGATCACTATAATAATTTAGAGTAGTAAGTTATTTAAGGGAATAAAAGTCAAACAACATCAACAACTTCTCACTGCAACAGAATCTTTTTTTCTAAGAAGTAGCTATTTTTTCTGTTGACTTCTGAACTGTTTTGGTACTGGCTTTGACTCTTAAATTAAAAATTGTCATAAATAATAGGTGCAAGTCTTTTACTTTCAACCTGGAAAAACATACCCTCTTTTTTTTTTAGAAAATGAACAATTATTTTCTTTCATTCTAGTAAAGGATGGAATATCACTTATATTCCGTCAGAGAATTAAATATTAATTCAATATATGTCTACTCAGAAGTAAGTCCTGCTAAGTTTACGAACATATATTTCCAGGCCAGTATAACCAACTGGGAAGTAATCCTAATAAACTGAGTAGGACTTGTTCAGTAGGGACATGCTTAAGATTCCATAATTAAGGTTTGATCTTAATTATGAATCCAGAAAGCAAGGCTGGAAGGTTTGTTAAGATGATGATGCAGTTACGGCAAGGTTTGCAATTTTGCGCTGTGCTGAAAAAGTGAGGGAATACTTTATTTACTACAGTGTCATAATCAGCTACCATCACAAAATGAAGCATATTTGGAAAAAAATATAACTTTCCTAGAACTGATTTTTAAATAATCTTTATTTTAAAATGCACAATTTAAATCCAAACACAAACACTCCCTTTTCGAATAGTTTCCCTGTGGTTTCTGATGTTGACAATATCCATTTATATGAAATAGCCACAGTTACACAGTTTTACCATATTGCTGGAAAATTTTATTCAGACCAAAATATATACTGCAATGTAAGGAACAAGAAATACCGTAAATGCCGGCATACAAGGCGACCCGGCGTATAAGACGACCCCCGTCTTTATAGCCGGGCCGCATTCCTAGAAAGTCGTCTTATACGCCGGAAACTACCAGTATTTCCGGCGTATAAGACAACCCCCGTCTTTGGCGCCGATTTCAGCGCTCGCGGAAGTCGCCTTATATGCCGGCATTTACGGTAAATCAAGACTGCCAGGAAATATTGTTATATAGTAAACATAAAGCATAATGCACAGGGTGTCTATAAAGCCATATCTGTAAAGACTACTCTATGTCAGTGGTTCTCAACCTGTGGGTCGGGACCCCATTTGGGGTCGAACGACCATTTCACGGGGGTCGCCAAACAACGCAGTCTGCCATTTTTTCCCCCTTTTCCTTAGCTGTGCTACTCCCTTTTATTCTATTGGCTTTTGAAAGCCAATAGAATAGACTCTCTTGAATAGAGTCTAATTCTATTGGCTTTCAAAAGCCAATAGGAATTGTCCAGGCTGTCTCTGCCCTGCTGAGCCCGCCAAAAGTCCCATTCTGCAAACGGTGCTGCACCAGTTGAATAGTCCTCAACTTACGACCGGTTGAGTAGTCCTCGACTTATGACCGGTTGGGGGTCGCGGCATTAAAAAAGTTGAGAACCACTGCTCTATGTATTTTCATAAAATTTTCCTTTTTTAAGAAGTTCTTTTCAATAGTTCACATACTATAGTTCACTCATGCCATTCAGGGACTAAACTGTCCTATTAACCAAGTGACTGTAGAAGCGAATTGTTATTTCTACAAATAGAATGTATGTAATTCCTGAAGAATTCATAATCTACATTTCTTCCATAAACAATACCCTCAGCTATTAAAAAAAATAACTTTAAAATAAAAAATGCAAGCAAATCTATAATACTTAAATATTAATACTTACATAAGCATTAATTCAAAAATAAAGTGAGCTGAAAATAAAATATTACAGAAATATGTATAAGAATGTGGCAAAGAAAGTGCTGGAAGATGAATTATATGTTAAATGTTAGACATGATATTGTAAGTACCTACTTTTTCAAACATTAATTTCTCATCAAATATCAGGGGGAATATTGCACGAACACATGAAGTTTTCTTATGTTGTCCAAAAATACATGCACTGACATAGACATCTTCTCTGGATTTTAGTGCAACACCTGGACATGTTACCTGAAAGAGCAATTTTTCATAATAACTATGACTAATAAATGTTAACTGCATAACATTTAAACCCCACAGCCCACTTTATGAAATGCACAGTAAAATGTCATTATGGTAAACTCAAGTATTTAACAAAAAGGTATCATAATGCAGAACACTGCTCTCAGCATTTTGATGAAAGCTGTGGATCTTGTGGATGCCTAAGTCCACCCACATTTGGAGCCTGGTCCCGTGTATTCTTATTAAATTTGGTGTGACCCTCAAGATGAAAGAAGTTATGCAGCATTCCTTTGTTTTTTGAATAAGCCAACCCACTACGTCAAACCAAGCAAATCACATTATGGCTATTTACCGATTCACATTGACAGAAACCATGGGTGGTTCCCCACTTTTGTAAAATAAGACATTGTCTTCTATAATCACATCTATGCTTGGAATTTAAGCTATATTAACCTCTCACAGTAGTCTTCTGGAAGTGCTAAAGATAGTGTATTTGAATTAAATTGGGATTATCTACCAAAGATTATTACTTAGGCTTACTGTTTCTTGGTCTGCTTGAAACTGGGATATATTGTTTTAATTTGCCATCTGCTCGTGTTACCATGAACATTCCAATTTATTATTTACTGGTATATGTTGTGGATGTAAACTATTCCATGTCTTGACAGCTATGGGGATATGCATATGTGATAAATAAAAAACTAGAAAAATAAACACAATTCAAGAAGAAATTTCTCTAATATTTGTAGATATTATATGTATCAATTTAGCCTTGCTGAGCTTTTGGAGGAATAGATAGTTGTCTTGTTTTTTTATGCAATATATAAAACTTTTACCAAAAAGAAAGTGTCCCCACTTTATAGAACAAGGGCGAAACCAAGCATAGTACCAATTTCTGAACAGCAGTAGTTTAGCCACTCAAGTTAGTGTGCACTAATTTTATAATTCAAACCAGGAGCAAATATAAACCATTAGGACAGTGATTCTCAAAGGGTGGTCTGAGGAGATCCCTCAAGATCTTTCAGGGTCCCGGAAATCAAAATTATTTATCAGTCTTCTATGTTAAAAAAAAGAATACAATATTAAAATCACATCAAACAATCTGAAAATCAGTAGTGATAGCTAATTTTAATTTTTAATACAGAAAATATTGATAAATATAACCCATACAAACAACGTTCTTTTGAGGTCTTCAGCATTTTTAAAAGGGAAAGGGTCATGAGAAGAAAAATATTAAGAAACACTGCATTAGGAGAATAAGATTTCTAAGCCATTATTGGGACAGCATAAAACAACAACAATCAGGTCAACAATCAACAACAACAACTTTATTGTCACTTTGAATGTACACCAATCAGCATACCTCAAAATGAAATTTCATTGCATACAACAGCGATTCTCAACCTAAGGGTCGCGACCCCATTTGGGGTCGATCGACCATTTTACGGGGGTCGCCAAACAATGCGATCCGCCATTTCCCCCCCTCAGGGGGCGGCGCCGCGCATGCACGCCACGCATGTGTGCCGTGCCGTGCATGCGTGGCACGTTTGTGTGACAGGGGTCGCCGTCACACAAACGTTGAGAAACGCTGGCATACAGCTTTATTTTAATCAGGTTAAAATAAAGCAATTAATATTTTTTCTTTAAAAAACTGCAAGGTGGAAAGTGTTTATTCAATCTGGAATGATCTGATGAGGAAGTATTTTTTTCAGTATTTTATTTTGTACATCTGAATAGCAGATTAGTTCTTACTAATCTATAAGATACACACGTAGAATTCAGCGGGTTTTCAAATTTACACTTGAATGTTTTGTGCCTGAGCCTTTTTCTTCCCTATGCCTTTGAGGCATTGTTGACTCCTGACAACTTCCTGGTCTAGTCTCTGTACTTTTCTTGAGAAGATTGTGAAGATCCACATACTTATGGCTTGTTAGTGACAGGCCTGAGGCAGGACTGGAACTCAGTCTCCCAGTTTCCAATTTATACTGCCTTAACCATGTAGTACACCAAACTGGCTCTCTTGGGTCTTTGTATGCAAAGAAACTTTTTCATTCTTTATATGTGTGCTGGTATCTCAAGTAAAAGCATCTAACTGACTGTTTGTGCATGGACACTTAATAGGTTTGGTTATAATGTGAACTGAAACAGGAAATCTACAATCTATAGACTAGACTGAGAATTGGAAAAAAAAAATCTTAGTCAAAGAGAATGGCACTATTTCTCTACTTTGCCAAGAAAACCATATGAATAATATCCATGCAGTCAGCACAAGCTTAGCTATTCAAAAGAGACTTTACTCTCACCCCCTGCCCCCAAGAATGGATACATTTAAGAAACAGAAATGTTTCTGCTTTATGAAAGTGGTACTGTAATGCACTCAGCATAAGTATGTGGATCAGATTTGATATAGTGAAGGCAAAGAACATTACAACTTATTAAACTAAATAGTAGTGCATTTCATGTGAAGTTTGAGAACACACACACACACACACACACACACACACACACACACACACTTCTCATCTTGAAGCCCATGAAAGAGAAAAGAAATGCTGGCTTTCAAAATATAGAAATGAAAATACTTGAACAGCACTGAATTTAACCAACTGAAATTCTTCAAAAGGACAAATGTAGAGCACAAAAAAGACAAACTTGTATTTCAAGACTGTAACTGGCCAGAAACAAGAGAGAGATGCCCGGATGTAGTCTAACCGTTAGTTCACCATTGAGGAAAGAAGAATGGGGTGAAAAAGAGCCAATTTTCTAAATGGTCATAGATACTAACAGAAGTGCCAGATCTTGGCTGTAAAAATCCAGATGTTCACTGAATGCTTAGAGGTGCTCCTGATTTTTGTTTTTGTTTTTGCAGAGACTCTATGGCAACCAGGAGAGTCATGAAGTTAAGAGCATCGTCCGCTCTATAGAAGACTCGTCAGTTGCTTAATGTCGGGAGAGAGGGAATTAAAACAAGGCGGAAAGAAAATACTCCCACTAAGAAGCTGCCACCTCCTCCATTCTCCTTTAATTCAAAGGGCTGCTCTCGAAAAGAGGAGCGAAGTCTCGAGTCGGCCTCTTCGCAACAAGAAAGGCAACCCTCCAGGCTTCCCCACATACAACGCTTCGCTCACGAATCTGCCCTGAAACTTTCTTAGCTTCACCGCCGAAAGACCAAGTTCTCCCCTTTCTCGAACCTCTCAGGCTCGCCGCAAAAGCGCCCGTAGAGATACAGCGTCCCTCTAAACCGAGCGGGGCCCTCCGAGACGCCTTTAGGCACTTCCGTCCAGCTCCCCTCCCCTCTCCTCCTTCCCCCCCCCCATCCCCGGTCCCCTCAGGCTTCCTCACCGTGCGGATGTGCAGCTCCAGAACGCAAACGAAACCCTTGCAAGGCGCCATACAGGCCGCCTTGTCTTTCAGCTGTTAGATGAGAAGAGCGGACTGAACAGGGAATGGGGGGGAGGGCGGGACCCTGTTCCGGCCCTTCACCGGACGCGTTGCTTGGCTAGGCCCGGAGCGCTCCGGACAGACTCTGTTGCCATAGCGCCGGAACGCTAATGGGGCCCCTTGAGGGCAGGAGCGAGAAGGCGTGGCTAACGTATGTACGGCCGGTTTGGAGAGCCGAGAAAGCTGAAGCGGGCCAAGTGTCGTCACTTCCGGTTCCAATGGCAGGCGTTATCGCCTCCTGGAGCCATTGACCGAATAAGAATGGGAGACGTGTCTGTTTGAAAGGTTTTAATTCAGCAGATGAGGAAAGAGAAGAAAACTCTTCCCATTTTGATACATTGGTTGGAGTGTACGTTTCTGAAATTGTCCAAAATTATATAAAAGAAGATATCCAAATTACCGTTTCTGATTCCCCCCCTCAAATAAGTAGGCTTTTTTATGGTTTGGATTGCTTAACCATCAGCCTTCTAACTGGCTAATTAATAAAGAAATCAGTCGGAAAAGTTTTAAATTACAATTGATGCTGATGATACAATTGATGCCTCTTTAAAAGAGTAAATGAAGGAATATTGTGTTCATACAAAATAGAGTAAGTGTTATCAGAAGAAGAGACTCATTAACATTTCCCAGTTTTATCTTTTAATTAGCAGACCATAAATGTCCTCAAAGATGAACATGGTTTGCTTTCATTAGAACACAAACTGCAGAATATAGTTGAACTAAACTAACCTGAATCTTGTTTATGCCAAGATAGCAATGGTAATTGGAAATCTTAATTCAGGTGAAATATACTTAAACATTAAATTGAAGTTTCAATGCATACAACATTGGGATCACCTAATTTCTTCCCCCCTCCCCCCCATAGAACTAGAGGTAACAGCAGTCTTAAAAAGCAGACTAGATCACTATTTTTGACTCATTGATGTGACTTGTTTCATGTATAGTTTTGCATGGTCTTAATAGTAATTTACTCAACATTGCTTGGGTAAATTGTACATTGCCCATTGTCTCTTTCCTGGGACCCAGCCCTCTGCTATCCGATATGCAGTTAGAAAATGAACTTATTCATGAAAACATCTTCCTGTGTTAAAAAGAGGGATTATTATGGATTTCTTTTCATTATGGTGTCCAGAAATCACCATGCCTTAATTAGGGGTTTGAATGTTTTGAATTTTGTAAGCTCTTTGTTAGGTGATTTATTTATTTTTTGGCTAATGAGTGAGGTCAGCATGACATAGGGGAAACCCTTTAAGCTCCTGGGCCTAAAAGCTCATGTGAGTACCATAATGGTAGAGATGGAGGTAGGACCTAGTTGGATGAGGTGCCTGACCTGGTGAATATAACCAGCGCTTAGGTAGGACTGGGGGGAAGGGAGTCTTGAAGTTGTACCTGCCCAACTTTGAGGTTTGGCATCAGCTAGAGTTCAGTGGAGGAAATGGATATTATCCTAATGGTGAGAGCAATCAACCAATGGAATAGCTTGCCTTCAGAAGGTGTAGGTGCTCCATCACTGAAGGCATTCAGAAAGAGATTGGACTACTATGTCTGAAATGGTATAGGGTCTCCTGCTTGAGCAGCGGGTTGGACAACAAGACGTCCAAGGTCCCCCCCATGGTGTTATTCTATGATCTACGTTCACTTTCACAAGATTTTCACAAATCATTGAGCATTCTCAGAGATGCTGTGCCACAGGTACCTGGATTGCCACCAGACAATGTTGTATCCATTCAGCTTGGGAACTGGCATCATGGACCTATACAAGCTACCAAAGTCCTGATTTATATCAATGGTCACACTTAAATCTTGTTCAAGGTAACTTAGACCTTGACTGGAGGTTCTACAGACATATTATGAAGAGTATTCTAGCTTTTCTGTTAAATAAAGTTGCTCAAATCCACTTAGAAGTGTATTCTGATTGGTTTATTCCATCGGAGATATCTGGGACACAGTTGCGTGGGGTGACTCAGTTTGTATGTTACTCCTAATGAAGTAGACAGGGCCTTACAAACTGTGAGTTTTGCCAGTTGATTATTACATCCATATCCTTCTGGTATTATTAAAATAGCTTCCAAGAAGTGAAATGTGAGCTCCAAGCAAAAGAGTCAGCTTCCTTGAGAGAGGTAGTAGTTCTTCTGACTTTTAAAAAAAGGTGGTGATAGACCTCTTTCTTGGAAGGCCATCACCAGAGTCAATAATTCTGGACAAATTGGCTTCCAGATGTAATTCAAGTTGCTGATTGTACCTGTAAAGTCTTCATCTCACAGAGCGTGGTCTTTTTTTTAGCGACTGCCTACTTCCTGTAGTTTCTGCCCAATATATAAAATTATAGGTAGGCAGAGTTATCCACGCTTCAGGTTCCTTCTATTAAACAATGTCATGTAGCAGAACTTGGGAACTGTGCCTTTTCTGTCATGGTCCCTGCCATCTGGAATGGCATCTGTTTCCCCCTTCCCCCCCCCATGATTTGTATAGCTCCCACTCTGATGGTGTTCAGAAAAACATTGGAAACCTGGCTATTTTTCCAGGCCTTGGGCTAGATTGGGTGTTGAGTCCTTGCATGATTTTATTGTTTGCTCTTGTCTTTTGCCCAGATGCCTATGATCTTCATTCCTTTAATCTTATTTTTTGCTTTTAAATGTACATGCAATGTAGAGTTTGGTGCAGTCGATGGCCTCTAAATTGTAAAATGAAATGAAATGTCATGTTTGTATCTGTATATTGATAAGAATTCTTTCAGTCCCTAAACAACTGTTAGAACTTTCACCACCTGCTCATACATTCCTTTGTCTGATACTGTTTGCATAAGCTTTGTCTGATATTGTTGCATAATAATTGGCAGTGGTGTCTACTGAAGCTGTTCAGATAGGATGCCTCATGGGAATATGATAGTATTGTATTCATCAAATACCTGAATGGAGATCCTGTACAAGAAAGGTAAGACCTATTCCTTATTTTATAGAGTGTTATTATGTAATAACAGACTTAAATTACGCGGAAATATATTCCAATTGAATTTTAAGAAAAAGTTACAAGGGAAGGATGGACTTTCCTTCAGTGAATGTGTTCAAAGAGAAACTGGATCTATCCAATGAAATGTCTTAAGATATGTTTTATAATATCCATTTTCCCATTTCCCTTCCTGTATCTTCAATCCAATGTGCCATCTTCTGAATTCTGAAATGTCAGAAAAGAGGTCTGGGCTTTATCTAACAACAACTTTTCAGGAATGTGAATAGTTCTAATGCACCCATCTTCAAATCTTCTCAACACTAAATCTTCATAGTATGTTTGACACATAGTGTCTAGTTCCTGGTAGTTTCTGATCTCTTTTTCTTATTCTAACTTATTCTAACTTCTCTGAATCCTTAAAGTATGGTGTCTGGTATATACTTAGTATTCAAACTATGCTCTGAACAATGAATATTAAAGTGGGGTGATTAGGTCATGTGATCTGAAGGTGTCCTGTACTTTTGTGGATGTAGCCTGAAATCGCATGTGTCTTTTTACAGCCACATCTCGCTACAGATAGTCCTTGACTTACGACCACAATTGAGCCCAAAATTTCTGTTGCTGAGACAGTTGCTAAATGAGTTTTGCCTTATTTTACAACCTCTCTTGTTGTTAAGTGAATCCCTGCAGTGGTTTAAGATAGTACTACGGTTGCAAAGGGAATCTGTTTTCCCCATTGACTTTGCTTGTTCGAAGGTCGCAAAAAGTGATCACGTGATTCCAGGACCATTGCAATCATCATAAATATGACCCATTTGCAAGCTTCTAAATTTTGATCACATGACCAAACAGTCGTAAGTGTGAAAAAGTGGTCATAAGTTGTTTTTTTTCAGTGCTGTTGTAGTTTGAATGGTCACTAAACGAAAGGTTGTAAGTCGAGAACTACCAGTGTTGCACTGAGTCATATATACCGGTACTCTATGATAAAGTACTATTCTCATATCTATTTTCCAAGCACAATTATTAAGTCAGGTCTTCAGTATTAATTGTATCATATTAAGTGATACTTGTTTAAGTACTGTACTGATAGCTCACTACATCCGATGTTATGACATATTTTAAAAAATGTGAATATCCATTTTAATTAGACAACATGGCAAGAAGTAACATTATTTCAATTTGTTAACCTGCATCTATTATTATTTGTATTTTGCTTTGCTTTGGTCCAGCTCCTAATGCCTTCAATGATGGACAATTTGTCTTATGTGGGATGGCATTTCATCTGTTTATCCCTGATTAATTGATTACCAGATTAATAGTACATTTCACACTAACCAAATTACAGTTTGTAAAATGTGTTTAGTCAAGAGAAGAAGCCAAAAATTTCAAAATGTAACAATCCAACAGACAGGTAGAATGTAATTTTAAAAAAGATTATAATTGCATCTAGAAGGAACAAACTGAATCAAATTATCAAAGTGTAATGAAATGGGGCTGGTAGAATGATAGATAAAAGTTCAGATTAAAGACTACCTGTGGATTTTGGAAAGAATTACAAATATTTTTACTTTAACATATAAGGTAAAAACTGTTCATGCCTTAGGTAAGAAATGGTCTTGAGAAATGATCTACATGGTAGTCTTTTCATTTTAAGCAAGGCCAAGCTACCCTGACTTCTGACACAACAGTTGATTGATATGGTAAACTATCAATACTATAAACATAGAACAAAGGAATGAATATATGTAATTTAAATAATCAAATGTTCTAAAATACATTAATGAAAGGTACTGTTTGCAAGCCATTGTTACTCATTTACATGATTGCCTTGTGTTTGTGTCAGGTACATAGTAGTACAATGTATTGAGGAAGAGGGTGAAGAAAAGAACGCATTCAGTATTTTGTTCATCCCTTATATAGAAATATAAAGGCTTTTAAAAGTTTTTTGAAAATACATGTGGAGCAGGAAATAAAAGCTAGCAAATGATTGATTATGATATGACATCTGTAATATTATTATGGTTACTCATAATGGAGATTTATATGTTGAAATGGTGATGCCTCAGAAAGCTCTGCCACTGTAGTTCTCCTCCCACTTTGCAGGACAGTTTACTAACTTTTATCACGGAGCAATGACTAATTTATTTGTCTGTTAAAGAAAAAAAATGTCATTTTAAGATAATGCTGGTAGCTA